TGTATTCACACATGTATCATGTTTCCGGTTAATACAATTCTAGCATGAAACATTTATCATGAAATAAGGAAATAAATAATAACTTTATTATTGCCTCTAGGGCATATTTCCTTCACCTCCACCGACCCCTCGGACCCGCCTGCTGCTCCTCTCGCCTAGGCGGCCCTTTTTATCTTGCCTATTTCCTGTCCTTGTAGTCTCTTGAACAATTTCGTTAAATGTGCGTAATTCCACCCACTGAGGGTGTAGGTTAAACTTAATGAATGCTAGCCTCAGGCCTTTTGCCATGTACATATAAGTTTAACTTCTTGCTCGATTTCTGCTTTTCTCTCTTTGGCTTTCTTCTGTGCCGCGTTCTCTTGGCTGCCTCCCTGCCAGCAGGATAGCCGCTCTGCGGTCTGTGGCTGGGTCAGGGACTTGGTCGTTCTTCGGAACGGGCAAGTTACTTGGTCCGCATAGAGCGTAGCTTGATCGAGCGAGAAGCCGGCCTGCCGGCTGCTGAGCAGCCGGACGAGGGAGGCAAAGGGTCGGCTGGGCCTAATTTAGCGTTCCTCCTTAGCTGAATTTCGTGTGGACGATGGTTCTGGCCTTTAGCTCCTCGCCAGTCGAACAGCCGAGCTGCAAGTTGTGACTTAGAGCAAAGAGAGGGCTTTCGGCGTAGGCACACTACTAGTCGACTCCGGCTGGTGCAAACTTAGGCCAAGGCGGCGAGCCCCCAGGCCGGCAGACCGGAAACCGGGCGGGGCAGGATAGGAAAAACTCAAGTCATGGCATAAGTTTAACTCATAGATAGATAAAAAGGTAGCCCCCGAGTGCACCTCGGGGGACCTGAGGTCTTTTACTTAATACAAAAGTTGGCGTGGTACATACGCTTGAATCAACTGTAAAACGGGCGAAGCAGATTTGCATTCCATGGCTGCTTCGTCTCTTCGCCGCCTGTGCACCGCTTGCGCGCCCTGGGCTTCTGGGCATCGATGAGGTAGTATGAGTCGTTGTCCAGAGCCTTGTTGATGATGAAGGGGCCTTCCCAAGGTGCCGCGAGCTTGTGCTGTCCGGCTGATCGCTGGATCAGGCGGAGCACAAGCTCACCCTCATGGAAAGAATGTGACCTGATCTTCTTGTTGTGGTAGCGGTGCAGGCTCTGCTGGTAGATGGCAGACCGACTGCATGCTAGCAGTCGGGCCTCTTCCAGCAGATCAACAATGTCTTCTCGCGTCTCTTTGGCCTCCGCCTCCGTGTACATGGTGACCCGAGGCGAGTCGAACTCGATATCCGTGGGGATGATAGCCTCGACACCGTACACGAGGAAGAAGGGCATGAAGCCGGTTGATCTGTTTGGCGTGGTTCGAAGGCTCCAGAGGACGGCCGGCAGTTCGTCGATCCAGCAGCCAACCGACCGCTCTAACGGCTCGATCAGGCGGGGCTTGATGCCAGAAAAGATGAGGCCGTTTGCTCGCTCCACCTGGCCGTTTGACTGCGGGTGGGCAACATACGCTAAGTCCAGTCGGATGCCTTGATTCGCGCAGAAACAGGCCAAAGCGCCTTTGGCAAAGTTTATTCTGCTAGAGATTAAGCTTGAACAGGGAATAGTGATTGTCTTAGACTCTAGACGAAAAAGTCCCCAGGAGTATGCGAACATGACTGATATGCTCCAGAAGTAAGTTCAATCGATCATTATCGCACCATATAGGCAACTTTGTTCATTTCCTGATATCAAGTAATTATTCTCTTTGTTTGGCAGGGTTTGGAAACAGTTCACCGCCATTGTTCCGGCACTATCGAAGGAGCTGCGATTTACACACCCGAAAGTAAGTACTACTAGCTAGTTCCGCGCATCTCCCATTGATTCTAGCTAGTTTCATCAAAACCATTAAGCACGCTTGATTATCAGTTTGATTGAAATCCATTTCTCGTAAAGTGCTTGTGGCAGGAAGCCGGGAATGATTTTTGTGGATACTACGTTTGCGAGTTCATCTACAACTCGACGACCTCTAAGCGGGGCTACTCTAAAGAAGATTTTGATGTACGTAAACAAAAAAATCACAATTTTATTTTATTACCATCATTTGTGTTGAGTTTCATTCATATACATGTATTGACCCACTTCTTTAAATTAGAAGTGCGAGATGCGGGATGAACTCCTACCACATGATCGCATATGAGCAATTCAAGAGGAATTGGCGGGATTCTTTCTTGACTACGTCATAAATAAAGACGGATAATACCATGTGGAAGTTGATATAGACGTTAGATGTTAGGCTTTGTAAGAGATCTTATATTGTATATATTTAGCTAGTAGCGTTGGATAGATATACGGAAACTTGTTGTTCGACCAATCTCGTGGAGAAAGAGAGGTGATGTAGGGTAGAACCCTAGAGGCCGATCTTTCATGTTTGAAGAGGATCCCTACGAGGAACACGAAGAACGCGAGGAGGGAGACGAAGGAAAAACATGAGAGAAACACTCAACCAACAAGAATAAAGTCACACATGCGCTAGATCATCGAGGCACGAGGTAATACAAGATCCAAATCCAACAAAGGACAATACAAAGGGTAACCGATTCTTCTCCGTGAGGAGGTCTTGATGATGGTCTTCTCTGGGTGGAGGTCTTGAATCCAGGTGGATCTTCTCCGAAGAGGTATCGGTCCCTCACGAGGAGTAGATCCGGATGGATGAGCGAGGCTCTATCTCACAAATGAGCTAAATCGACGCTAAACCTAGCTAGGAGGTAGGAGGGGCCTATTTATAGTCATAGTGCAAATGAGGGGTGAAGTGAAGGGGTACATGGGCCTCAGCCCGCAGCTGGGCGCAGCCAGGGGTCGGACGACCGGTGGGCGTCAGACGTCCGGAGGCTCGGGACGGCCCGGTCGTCCGTAGATCTTCGGACGTCCGTGAATTTGCTTCTGTGGTCGGTGGCACGGTCGTCCGGTCTTCCTCGGATCTCCGTAATTTCGGTTCTGTTGGGGAAGTGTCGGACGTCCGGAGGGGCTCGGTCGTCCGGAGCCTGGGAGTTGCAGGACGTCCGGGCAGGGCCGGTCATCCGGAGCCTGTAGCCTTGTCTGCCCAGTCTTCCTTTGGCTGTTGCGACCTCCAGGGGTCGGACGTCCGGGCTGGGCCGGTCGTCCGGGACCTGTAGCTTCCGAAGTAGCTCTTCTTCTTGGTCTTCACGCTTGGTGTCCTCGCCGTCTTGGCCTTTGGATGTAGTTGTTCCATGGCTCTCCTCCAAGCACCTGATCACATATAGAGTCTCCGCATGAGGTAGTAGCTATGTCTCGTAAGTAGAGAGAGGGAGTTCGGAGAGGAGCGACTTTACCTTATCTTCGATAGCCTTTGCTCGAGCTCTTGTCATAGGTCCAAGTGTAGTCGAGGGAGATGTAGGTACGTCCATGGGGATGATGGAGGGATGCTCCGCATCAAGAGGTCGATCACTTCTCTCTGTGTATGTTCATAATGATCTTGTGTACTCAATGGTTCCTTCATTTGCTTACTAGCTAGTGTGTTGAGTTCTCTCTATACGTATGGTAGCTAGCGTCGACTAAGCACAAAGATAAGAGAGGTCACTTCTCTCTATTAGCTAGCTAACACAATATATGAAACCCCTAAATTAACCCTCCAAAATCCCCTAACCCCCCCCTCCCCCCCCCCTTCAAAAAAACAAAAACCCCAGCTCCTGAGTTGCTGACGTGTGGATGCCATTTGGTCCCGGTTGGTGTTACCAACCGGGACTAAAGACCCTCCTGTCTGGGCTCGCCGCAGCGGCCACGTGGAGCACCATCTGTCCTGGTTCGTAACCGAACCGGAACTAAAGGTGTTGGGCTTTATTCCCAACCCTTTAGTCCCGGTTCCAGAACCGGGGCCAATGGGCCTCTGGAAACGGGACAAATGGCCCATTTTCTACTAGTGGAAATGCATTTATCTCTTGTCTTTTATTGGGGTTCTATAATGCAAATGTATGGTTGTTTGAGGGCAGGGGGGCCTCTGCAAGGCCGAAATAGACTCTCCGTTCGGCTTCTATGTTCTTCAATTGGATTGGACTAATTTGATTCCTCGTTTGTCCACAGACAGTGCTTGGGCGTGCCCGCTCCGAACCCCCTCATTCGTCTATACAAGCAGTTGTGTTCTCCCAATTGTCCAAACACATGCATTGATTCATTGGGATAGAGAAAATGAGAGAGAAGAAATAAAAAGAAGAAAGC